TGCATTTTTCCGTGATAGTCCATCGACAAAGATTTTGATAAAAACAGTAAACTTGTTTCTTAAACGAACACTTTAGAAAAACCTTCATGCACAATAATGAAACGTTTGCCAATGTAACCTTGTGGTTTGCGTATACTTTTTATATTACTATCCTGCCAAGAATTTATTCTGGTTGCTTTGGCATATATCTATGCTTCATCTAAAAAATTAGCACTATGACGATTTTTCACATACTTAGGAAGAAAGAATGCCCTATAATTAGTAATATTGGTACGTTCCATTAAGGATCTATAAACTTTAAACTGTAACCACACTCACCAACTACAAAATTAGTACAAACCTAAAAAAGTCTTCAGCTTTAAATCTTCGTGTACATTTATTATTAAATATAGTTTGATCATCTACAGAACCCAGCCATTTTGCAACGATATTTCTAATTTTAAAACTAGTCACTGAGGTTTGTTTGTACATTTAATGCAAAAATTCTTTTTGTAAACGATATATTTCTGCATTTGCACCTCCATAACATAAGGTACAAATAACTGCAGTTATGCATCTTTGATATCATAGAATGACATAAAACTCTTCTTCCACTTGGACCATGTTTCTCTAGCAGCACATTTTCTATCGCTGTTCTACAGTTTTTTAAAAACATTTCGACGGTTTTCTGAAGACTAAAATATGATGCATCTATTTTGGATCATAGGCTATGGCATATGGCATAGGTGCAGCTATGACATAACTTCATTAAGCTATAGCGAAATGATTTCTACTGTTGCCTAATGCAGATACTTACGGCGGATATCACATAATGATTCAACCGGTCGTGATACTGCGATCAGGCAGGCAAGGGGAATCCACCTGATTATATTCTCGTGATACCTCATGATGTATCCAATCAGTTAAATATGCTTAGCGATCCGATTAGCGATCGGCGCTCAGATTGTTTCCGGGCCTACTAGTGTCAAATGGGCTACCAGGCATGTAGCTTGTAAGCAACCAGGCAACACATGCGAAATAAGCGATTGGAAGAACATCAGATTTTCAGTTAAGAAAAGCAATGCGAATGGCAACCTGGAATTTTCGAGGATTATTGCAACCAGGCAAACTACATATATTAAAACTAGTCGAAAGAGGGAATATAGAATGTGTGCAAACTTTCAGAGGCTTATTGGAACGAACAAAGACACTTCCGAACGGCAGATTATGTTATAACATAGGAAGAAATGATGATGCAATTATGGTGACTAAAAAATTTTCACAATACGTGTATGATTACCAACCGATCAATGATAGACTCATAAAAATAATATTACTAGCATCACCAAACAAAATGCACATTCTTCAGTCTATATGCCAACCTCAGAACGCGTTAAACGATAAAGTGGAAGACGTCGACTCCTAATCATGGGCGATTTTAACGCCAAAGTAGGAGAAACAAGAAATGATGACATCCAAAATGTAGGAAACTATTGGTTAGGTATTAGAAACGGCCGAGGCGAATGTTTAATAGATTTTGCAACCGAAAACTGTTTGGCCATTGTAAACACAATCTTTAAACATCATGCCCGTCGTTTATCGATGTGGACCACACCAAATGGAGAATACAAGAACCAAATCGACCACATATTGATTAGAAACAGATGGAATACATGTTTTACAAACGTGAAAACTAGACCAAGAGCTGAATGTGAATCCGATTATAAATTGTTATGGGCTTGCTTCAAGGTAAAAATAAAGAAACAATACTGCATCAAAATCAATAAGAAGAGGAGGAGGGTTTTTGATCACTGTTTCATATTGAGCTTGCAAACATGCAACAAGAAAAATATCGTTGTTCTTTAAAAGTAAATATTTTCGTTCTGTTGACTGTGAACAAATGCGCTTGACGTACACTGACTACCTGAAGCCAATAACTTCAGAAGGCTGTAGTTTTAGAATAATAGTTTTTCAGACCTAGGTCCCATTAAAGATGACTGCGGGGTCCTTTAAAACGTTAAAATAAAAACATTTTAAACTAAAATGATAGTTTACTCTTAGTCAAAATTGAAAATATCAGACTGGCAACGGATCCCACAAAAACAACTACGGATACCAATACAACACAACGATTATTAGAGACATTACTTTAGAGACTTGACTTCTGACTGGAGTTTTTCTTCTGGAGACATTGACTGTAATGTTAGTGATTTTCTAAATAGACTTGTATCTATTTTTAATAAAGCATTTCCTCTATTAAACATCAGGCCATCAACATAATAAACCTTGGATTACCAAAGGCATTCGCATATCTGCGAAAAATATGCGTTCTCTGCTATATATTAAAAAATTTAATGACAGTATCCCCATCTCTGATTACATCAACAAGTACAGAAAATGCTATATAAAACTACTCAAAGTAGCCAAAAAATCCTACTTTCATAATCGCTTAACAAGCTCCAAAAATATTTCAAAAGAAACTTGGTCAATAATAAACGATTTTCGAAATAAAACCAGTACAGCGGATCAAACCTTTTCTTTTCCTAACCCCGAAAATCTAAATGATTACTTTGTTAATGTGAGTAAAAATATAACCTCAACTAATTCGCCACATCAAGATCCAGTTTCCTATCTCTCTAATTCAAAAATCATTGCTGATACCTTCTTTTTAAGACCAGTTGATAAGACGGAACTCATTTCAACAATTCGTAGTATAAAAAGCACATCGTCCTGTAGTACAGATGAGATTAGTCTATTAAAATCTTCTCAAATCTACCGCATAATGTTTTGGACGTCATGGTCTCGCTAGTAAATGATTCCCTTGAAAAAGGTACATTCCCTAACTGCCTAAAGACTGCCATCGTCATTCCTCTTCATAAAGGTGGAAAAAATCTGATGCCTGCAACTATAGACCTATTGCCTTGTTACCAGCACTATCAAAAATTATTGAAAGACGTATAAAAGTTCGACTTATGCCCTTTCTCCTTAAATATAATATTTTATCGCAAAATCAGTTCGGCTTTTTGTCTAATAAATGCCCTAGTGATGCCATATTTTCTGTGTTACATGATGTATATCTATCACTAAACAGTAACCTCTCCTCCGCCACCGTTTTCTGCGACTATTCCAAAGCCTTTGACTGTGTAAATCACGACATTCTATAAAAAAAATTAACTTTCTATGGAATTCGGGGTGTGTCTTTGAACTGGTTCAAAACTTACTTGGTAGGTAGGAAACAATTGGTTAGAATAAATGACACCGACTCTAGTTGTAAAGATATTGAGTGTGGAGTACCGCAAGGTTCAGTATTAGGTCCCATTCTTTTTTTACTTTTCATTAATGACATCACTTACTTGAAAATTAAAGGGAAAATTTTTCTATTTGCTGATGATACCAGTATTACTTGGAGCAGCTCTGATATTTCAACGCTTCATTCAATTATAACCGATGATTTACTTATAATCAAGGCTTGGTCAGACTCCAACTTACTTAGCTTTAACATGGATAAGAATGTAGCATTATCTTATAAAGGAGTCATGCAACCCTTGCTTTTGAATGGAGCCAAATCAATATCGTAAATTCCGTGAAATTTCTAGGTATTCTCATTGACAGTGATCTCAAATGGTCCTTGCATACTGACTCCTTAAGGAAGAAACTAGCCTCAGCTTGCTTTGCAATAAGATCTGTTTCGAAGGAACTAAATTTATCTTCTGCCAAAATGGCATATTTCTCATTGTTCGAGTCCCATCTTCGATATGGGCTTCCATTTTGGGGTTCTAGTACAGCGGCCCAATTTGATACTATTTTTAAGTTGCAAAAAACGAGCAATCCGTTATCTATTTGGTCTCAAACAAACAACTCATTGCAAGACCTACTTCAAAAATCACGGAATTTTGACGCTTCCCTCTTTATTTATTTTGGAAACGGTTTGTTTGATTCGAAAGCATCTAAACATTTTTACCGATAGACCTGACCATGGCTACTCCATTAGAAATTCGGATTGTAACGTTTATTTGCCGATCCCGTCCACTCAGCTAGTAAAGAATTCTATTCTATATCGTGCAAAGAAACTTTATAATCACCTTCCAAGAGAAATTAAATCCGCAACATCCTTCATTAAGTTTCGTAAGGTGACAAAAATCTATCTCTCAGAAAGACCCTATTATTCAGTTGACGAGTTTCTTAATGTATAAAAAGAAACAAAATTAGTATTGTTTATAATTACATTTGGGTGTCTCAAGCAGTGGCTACAATTTGTCTCATTTGTTGTTGTCTGTACAAATTATGTAGGTTATACAATAATTTTACTAATTTATAATTGTGTTATTCTGTTTTTTACTATATTGTTTTTGTTTTATACTTTTTGTATTATTTGACTGATTTATTTTTTAGCTTTGTCCATAAAATTGTTCAATAATTTTCAGTGACAATAAAGCATATTTCTATTCTATTAGAACTAAAAATCACGAATGTACGAAAGTTACCAAAAAAAAAAAAACGCTGAAAGACACAGGACAAATAGAATGAAACAACTTATAGGAAGATTATCTAGAAACAGTTTCGTAAACTAAAACAAAATATCGATTACTACTCAAAAGCAATAGAATGTCTGAAACAAATGTGGTCGTACAACATTAATGTTAAAACTGGTGTTAAAGTAAGTTTATCGAGAGAGACAAAACATAAAACATTATTAAAAGCCAAAAGTCTTAAAAATCTATAAATTTTGTATACAATAAATAAAAAAAATAGTATAGATATATACAATTGTATATGAAATTTGTAAACTCATGATTTTCGATGGTTTTCGTAGCTATACCTGCATAATATTAAGAGATAAGCCCTTCCGAAGTACTCATGTAAACTACCACTCCAACAACCAATTGATCGCGGCCGCCTATTTGATTAATTTCATTATCATTTTAATTTGAGTTGTAGTAGGGGAAGGCGTGCAGTGAAAATCTTAAGTTTATATATTTATCAAGCATGGCTGGGAGATTTGTCACACTCGATTGTTTATACCGGCGTCTGTGTTATGTGAAGTGCAACTTAGAAATTTGTATTAATTTTTCAAATTTTTGGGAAATTTTTCGTGACTCTTACCAAAGTTCTGAAACCAGTATTTTATATTTTGTTTATTTGTTATCTATACAAGGTGAGTTTTTAAGTTTTTTTTTTCAAATGTGAATTATTGTTGTAACTCTTTTGTTTAGAATTAAAAAAATGTTTTGCAAATGACAGATTTATGCGATTATTGACTATATTAATTTTTTTATACTAAAAATAAATTTTATCTTCGAGTGGAAATATTTGATAAGTATTGATTTTATGTAAAACTAAATAATCCACTTTTCGTTGTACAGGATTTTGACATATTCATTTTCATAAGTAGACTTCGGCAAATATGCAAATAAAAATGTAGAAAATATGCGCATAAATATGCACGTGTTTACCCGAAAATATGCAAATATTTTACAAAATATACATACAAATAAATAAAAAAATCGTACAATAGTAACAATTTTATTTAAAAAAAAAAGTGTACATAACTAAATATTTCCTACTATTCATTAAGATTTACATTTATTTTAAGTAACTACATCATTTTTAAGTATGAATAAACTTATTTAGAATTATGGTAACAATAAATGACCAAGTGGTGTTCAAAATTTTCTAACAAAAACTTGTGGCTTCTGTCTGGGTACATATATTTATATATGGAAAAACTTCGTTCAACATCAACTGATGTAACGGGAGCATTTTTCAAACTAACCAAAACATTTGGTTCTAAATTAATTGTTTCCGAAATATTTCCAGCTAGAACACTAACTACTTCAGAAAGAATATGGTAACCTTTATTTTTGTCCATAGTAGCTTCAAATTTTTTTAAAATATCTTTTCCAATATTACCTCTAACGTTCCGACAACATGACGCAAATTCTTTTATTAATGCTGTACTTTCGAACAATGACAGTTTTGGTGATTCTAACTGAGTAATTGTTTTTTGAACAAAACTAAAATTTGATTTTATAAATGAAAGTTCTTGTTGAAGCAAGTTACTCTGAAAAGTTTGTTTAGAAATCCAAAAGAGATTGGGAACTTTCATCTCTTAACGTATCAATTATGTTCTTTTATTTTAACAAAATGATATGTATAAAAATTAGCTGCTTCTAACCATATTCCCCTATCGCGTTAAAATAGGTTGTGGTGGAAGAGGAATGTTAGGTAGCATTTCTTTATAAAGTTGAATTCTTATAGGAGATTTAAGAAATACTTTTTTGACACTGGATATCATGGTATTTACAAGAGGAAACTTTTTCGTATTTCCTCTGCAACTCTGTTTAAATCCATGCGCTACACAAGTAACATGTATTAAATCTGGGAAAAATATTTTTAAATTTTGTCCTGCTTTCACCATATAAGGAGCAGCATCCGATAAAATAAGCAGTAATTTATTAGAAGGAATAGTTGTCGGAAGAAAAAAAGTTGCTAATGTTTCTTGTATAAAACGCGAAATTGTTAAAGCATTTGTTTTCTCAAGTTGCTGGCATGAAATAAGATGAGATTTTGGTAAGGTATCTTCTTTAAGAACACCAATCAATAAATGAGCAATATACTTTCCTGAGGAATCAGTGGTTTCGTCTACAGATATGTAAAAAATAATTATCTGCAATTTCTTCCTTAATATTAATTAACACCGACGAGTATAGCCCGTTCACATTATTTCTTCTTAGAGACAAGATCACTTGGAACATTAAGTTTGCAATATTTTTTTAGAAACGAACTAAAATTTACATTTGCTAATTTTGAAAGCGGTATGTTTGCAGACACTAATGCGCGACACAAGTCTTCATTAAAAGTTTCTTGCTCATCTAATTTTTTTGAAGTAGATTGGAAACATTTAGCCATTGACGTTTGATGTTTTCCTATTTTTCCTTTTTTTTTGCAATGTGTGAAGCAGTTCTCACATGTTGGTCTATCTGAAATTTCTTCTCACATGCTATCTATAAATAAAAATAAAAACCTTTATTTTAACTAGTTTGGTAAAAACAAACACTCGCTAAGTGTTTTAAAAGCAGTATTAATCCACAAATTAGTTTTTGTTACTAACCATTAGTACATCATATAAACTTATTTTAAAATTCAAAAAAAGTTTTTCTTTTGTTAATTCAATTACAATAAAAATAATTGTGTTTTAGAATAGCTGACTTCATAAAAAAAAGTAAAGGTGAAAAATTTTCCTAAATACACACCATTGTATTGTACCATGGACAATTTTTTCTCACTAAAGGAAGCTATTTTTCATTTAAAAACAACCTACGTACTAAATTTCAAGTAAATACGTTTATTGGTTTTAAAGTTATTGTTGTTATTAACTAAAAGAGTTTAATTTTTTTAATTTTAAAATTTTAACACCCTGTATCTTGAAAAATAAATAAGTTTGACCCCTCATTAACTATATCGTTTTGTTCAATTTTTCGAGAAGTATCTACAGTCAAACGTTGTAAGTGTCATTTGGAAACACCCTGGATGTATGAAATATTAGATATTTAATAGAAAATATTAGATACTTACAATTTTGCCACAGACTGAACAGTAGATTTTTCCCATATCCATAGACAGCTCTTTATAAGGTTTAATCCAAGTTGAAGCACTGGTTGTTTTAGGCATTATAAAATCACAATCTTCCTTTTTGTTATGCACAACGAGTGTTTACAGCTTTGAATATCAAAACAAAAATGATTTACAAATCTGAGCATCAAATCAGAAATGTTTAGGTACCTAATTCAATAAACTGGAGATTTTGGAAAATCCCAAATTAGGAACAAAACTATTAGCCGTTTACCTGCTGTTAAGATACAATAAATTGTAGATAGATTTGGGAATTAGATCATAAAATGCAAATGAGCGAACCCTTAGCGATTATCCAATAACTGAATGCCTCAGTGACCGAGACTTTCTAAGAATGTTGAGGGCTACTTAAATTGATCTTCTTTGAAATTGTAAATGCTTTTGTACCTGTAGAGATTACGTACTTAGATCATTTCTTGATTAAAATGACTACAAAATTTTATACAAGAATTGAAATAAATTGGTATGTTTAAAAAATTTTCAAATACAGTATAAAAATTTGAACTTTTATGCACTTTATGCAAACTTTTATACAAATATGCCAAAATATGAAATATTTGCATAAAAATATGCACAATATGCAAAATATGCAATATGCATATTATGCCCGAAGTCTAGTCATAAGTGTTACCCTTTGTTTTTAGTTTTTAACAAAAATATTTTGAAAACTAAAAATTTTACTTACCTTTTGTTTTAATTTTACTTTTAAACTCATAATTTTCTAAAAAACCTATTAACATTCTTCGTCCTAAATACTCAACTTTTATCCTTCCGGTTGTGTATTAAGTGGTTTTATTTGTTTTCTAAACCATTATTGTTTATTTTTCATTTATCACATAAGGGTACATAGTAGCCCTTATTTTGATGATTCTGATAAAATTACAATATAATTGGGTCGAAATGCAATCTTTGGGACCTTTTTGCTTATGTAGAGAATAGAATAAAATAGAAATATGCTCTGTCACTGAAAATTTCACAGTTTTATGGACAAAGCTTAGACCAAGTCAAAAAAATTACAATAACAATTAAAATTGACTAAAATTACAATCCATTACAAAATTTCACTAAATTGCAAATTGCATAATAAAACCTTACGAACTAGTTTACGAAGAAGTTTAAGCTGCTGCATGTGAATTGTGAAACCCAAATATATATAAAAATACTTTTTTGCTTGTACCCAAACGTACTGTAATTTCTTAGTTATTCGTTAAGAAACTCTGCACTGAATAATATGGTCTTTCAGATAGATAGGCTTTTGTCAATTTACGGAATTTAAGAAAAAAAGTTGTAGATTTTAGATGCAAAGGAGACGTTTTTATAATTTTTTTTTCCGAATATAATTTAGATTTCTTTACTAACTCAGTGTACGGGATCGGTAAATACACATCAAAGCTTGAATTTCTGATGGAGTAGTCATGATTAGGTCTTGCTGAAAAATTATGTAGTTGTTTACGAATTAAGCAAACTGTTTGTAGAGTATATAGATAGGGTAGAGTTAGAATCCCGTGATTTTTAAAGTAGCTTCTGCAATGTTTTATTTTACTGTGAAAAAAAAGTTACCGTATTGCTCTTTTTTGTAATTTTGAAATAACATCAGATTGAGCAACTGTGCTAGAACCCAAAAAGGAAGGCCATATCGAAAATAAGACTCGAACAAAGAAAAATAATGGTAATTTTGGAAGATGCTAAATTGTTTTCCTTTAAAACAAATCTTATTGCATAGAAGGCTGAGGCTAGTTTCTTGCTTAAACAAATCTATATGAAGGGACCATTTAATGTTTCCTTTAATATACCTACCTACTATAAGCTACCTATATTTTCTTTGCCTTCTTCTGTCAACTTTGTTAATGGCTTGAAGATGTTGGCAAATCCTTTGTCCTACCCTGTCTAGGGTAGCTTAAAATCGGTGCACTGATCAGAGCCATTTGTAATTGTTCGAAAGCTTTTGGGCACTCTTCGCTCCATGTATATTCTTTGCCTTCTTGTGTTAACTTTGTTAATGGCTTAGATATGTTGGCAAATCCTGTGAAAAAACGTCGCTAATATGTATATAGATCAAAAAAATTTCTAATTTAGTGTTTATCACTTGGTACTGGCCAATTCTTAATTGCTGCCAGTTTTTCAGGATCAGTTGTTATACCTTTACTTGCTACAACATGTCCCCCCTCTTAAAAACTACCTCCATTAATCTTTCAAATGTGACAGGGGCATTACATAAACCAAAGGTCATAACTGTGAACTGTTAAAGCTCTGATCCTATAGAGAATGCGAAAATTTTGTAGAAACCAATGATACTGATCTGGCTGTTATTAAAAAACGAGGGTTAAAGGGCTCTTTTATTGGATAATGCTACTGTCTTATCCACGTTAAAAGAGAGTAAATTAAAGTCGGGTCAGGTTTCTATTTTAACTAGCTCAGAAGTTGTAATTGAATTCTTCTTCTTAGAGTGCCAACATATTTCTTCCTTAAATCTTTCCCTGTATTATGAGTCTCAAAAATTTATATTTTGGTCCCCTCAACACA